CTTTGTTCCGTGCCATCAGTTGGAGTAGTGCTTGCCCAAGGAGTAGTGTACTCTGTGTTGTGTACCGAATTCCAAAAAGATAAAGGAAACTGTGTTTAATCCAATCGATATTTTTAACTATTTTTGTTTGTTTGTTTTCGGTATTGACCTATCAGAGTCATAGAAGAGGCATAAGGAAATTCGACCCTCAATAATGTATACTTTTTTTGAACTGTCATACATACTAAAATAAATGCCAATAGAGTCAACTGCAGGAAATCTTTACTGTTTTCTTAGAAACTCTTTAAGATGTAAACATCCTGTTGATATCAATCTCAGATTCTCCTAGTGTTTACACAGCAGCAGCTATCATTGTGCCAGGTCTGGCAGAGGAGCTGATAATACTGTATGCAGGCAACATTTAAGGAGTTAAGGTTAAAAATACTTAAGAGTAAAACAGCTCACAAGAACATTGTCATTACTACTATATGAAGCGTTAAGATTAAACTTAAACCCCAAAATTTTAAAATCTTGAAATACCCAGTTAAAACCTTAACTCTGTCCCTGTAGAGAAATTCTGAGAAAAACCAGACAGCTTTGTTCATTCACAAGCAACAGGTGCCTCTCGTGAGGGATCACATAAGCTAAAATGCCTTACTCACAGGATTACCAACTCTCACAATTTTATCATGTCTTGTGATATTTGAGGGTTTTTCTTAAAGCCCCAATTACAGTAACTCCTCACTTAAAGTCATCCCAGTTAATGTTGTTTCGTTGTTACGTTGCCGATCAATTAGGGAACATGCTCGTTTAAAGTTGTGTAATGCTCTCTTCTAACGTCGTTTGGCAGCCGCCTGCTTTGTATACTGCTTGCAGGAAGAGCAGCCCGTTGGAGCTAGCTGGTGGGGGCTTGGAACCAGGGTGGACCGGCAGCCCCCCTATTAGCTCCCCGCTCCCCTAAGTTCCCTGTGCAGCAGCCGCCCAGCAGGCTATCAATTGCAGCTGTCCCTCCTCCCACTGCCATGTGCTGCTCCTGCCCTCTGCCTTGGAGCTGCTACCCGAGACTCCTGCTTGCTGTGCGGGGGGGAGGGAAGGAAGAACCGGGGCTAATGTCAGGGTGTCCCACTCTCCCCTGCTCCTGCACCCTGCTTACCCCATCTTCCATAGAGTAGGGGGGGGACACACCAGGGCTCAGGACGGAGGGAGCTTGCAGCAGCTGCGGTCTCAGCAAGCTGATCTAATTAACAAGGCAGTGTACTTAAAGGGGAAATGCGCATATCTCCCTCTATTCCTGCTGCCTTATAGAGTGAGAGAGTTAACCCTGGAGGGCTCAGCCAATTGCTAGTTCATCATTTAGCAGTAAGGAAATATCCCACCCTCTGACTCCTCCACATCAACCAAGCTTCACAATCATCATCACTGTGTACAAGTATTAAATTGTTTGTTTAAAACTTATACCGTGTGTATATATATATATATGTAATATAGTCTTTTGTCTGGTGAAAAAAATTTCCCTGGAACCTAACCCCCTCATTTATATTAATTCTTATGGGAAAATTGGATTCGCTTAACATCGTTTTGCTTAAAGTCACATTTTTCAGGAACACAACTACAACGTTAAGTGAGGAGTTACTGTGCTGGATCAGGTTATTACCTGAGTGTCTTAGCTTTCATTTTTTACAAAGTAAGCGTCTAGTTCTCCTGGTGTCAGCTACAAAATGTGAATCTTACATGTCCCAAGATCAGAAGGAAAATAATAAGAATCCCAAATTTATTGTTTTTTCCCTTAAATCTCGTGATTTTTTAAGCCAGTCTTGTGAATATTGGGGCCTGACTCATGTTTTTTGAATACTTGGGTTGGCAATAGTGTACTCCTAATGGTATAGCGATTGTACTGACTCCGGTCAACTCTACAGCCACACATGGGCCAGAGGAAAAGATGTATTTTACAGATTCCCAAGTACACAAATAGCATACAGAAGGCCAACATGCCCCACTCTTGATGAAGAGTCCACATGCCTCCAACTACTCATGTTTCGTTAATTACAGAGCTACTTAATCTAAATGCAGTAAAACCTGCCTTAGGGACCACCTCTGAAGAGAGACCACCTGTCATGAGTGACCACTTACAGAGGCCATGGAATGTTTTCCCCCTATAATTTAACTATGAAGAATCTGTGAACAGTAACAACCTGTCATCTGTGACTAGCGACCACATTTCCTTACTCCCTTCCGTAAAAACAAACCTGTAGGAGAAACCAATCTTCCTTACTTCTGTGCTGCTGCTGACGGCGGCGTTGCCTTCAGAGCTGGGTGCTTGGCTAGCAGCTGCTGCTTTCTGGCCACCCCGCTCTGAAGGCAGAGCAGAGAGCAGCAGTTGCTGGCTGAGTGCCCAGCTCTGAAGGCAGTACCACTGCCAGCAGCAGCACAGAAGTAAGGGTGGCATGGCATGGTATGGTATTGTCACCCTTACTTCTCTGCTGGCACTGGAGTAGCCTGCAGAGCTGGGTGCCCAGCCAGCAGCCCCCACTCTGCAGCCGCCCAGCTCTGAAGGCAGAGCTAAGAAATAAGGGTGGCGATACCACAAACCCCCTACAATAGCCTTGCAACCCTCTTTTGGGTCTGGACCCCCAATTTGAGAAATGCTGTGTACTTTTGTATACTCTGCTGTTCTACTGTATTAATAAACCCACCAAGAGATTTTAAATACCATACAGAACTGTATTGTATACTGTATGTAATGTTCATTCAAAAGGCGATTCAAATTAAACATGAAACATGGGTAATAATAGTAGTCTTTTTCTACATCACAAAAGTGCCCATTTTACAGCAAACCTTTGAAGAGCGACCACCTCTTACAAGTCACCCCTTTTGCTAACTCCCATGAGGTGTCGCTCTTGGCAGGTTTTACTGTATGCAGCGTGGAGGTAAAGAAAGTCTTTTCCATAAAGTGCTAGCTGCAGTGGAGAACGTTTGTTCTCAACCAGTCACCAAATTGTACAGAGGGACAGAGGAGTAGCCGCAGGCTCGATAAGCAAAAGAATTGGGGAAAGGAGTAAAGGGCCATGAAGTGGGCCAGAGCCAGGCGATTGATCTTAAAAGGAAGGAGGGCACATTTGAATTGTGGAGGTCTGAATGAGTTGGGATTAATGGCAAAGTTCATCTACAGTTTTCTTGGCAACGTAGTGTATAGGTGAAGAGTTTCACTGCTTTACCCTTTACAGAGAGAATTTCAAAGCTATAAATGATAGTTAGATACCGAACTCCCATTGACTTTTCGTTGGTGCCTTAATTCCATGTGTGCCATTGAAAATCTCCCCCCGCCGATTGTGACCCACATTTTAGATTGTATGGCACAATCCATTCAACACCTGGATTCAGGTAGCAGAACTGACTATCAGAAAACAAATTTGGATTCTAACAAAGTTCAGGAATTTCTAATTAGAATATTTATGAATATAATTTTTTTATATTAAACTGGCATGGCTGGTAATCCCACCTATTATTAAAATTACATAACACTGCCCATTGCGAGACTCTGTGTTCAGTAGCTTAGTTGTGTTTATGTTAAACACATGTGCGCACGCAGTTAGATGTATAACTTGTATTAGTTACGTGTCCATTAAAGACTGGCTGTTACAGCCAGTATTCCACTGTATCCAAAATTTGGGTTGGTGAGCTTCAGTGAGAGGAAAACAAATGAGACACAAACATTTTGTGAAATGCCATCCATAATGAAATTTTGGCCCTTTGCCCACCTCTACTCCAGTATACAATGAGGTGTATTTATTTCTATTTCAAATTGTTGCAGAATCGTTTAAAATTAAAACAATTGAAGCTTTTTTGTGATTGAAAACAATCTTGTTTGTCTCCTGATTTGTTTGTGTTGCTCAGTTATGCGCTGAAGCTCAGAAATGAAATATGCAACAAATGTAATTAATGTAATTGGACCAAGCTGTACATGTGACCCATTGAGAAATCAACATATTTTCGTACTTGCATTCAGACATTTTAGCACAAAGCATCATTTTTTGACCCATTCTTGCACATTTTCAAAATCTTACGACTTTGCCATCTGTAACCCCTTGAAAAAGCGGTTATGAAAATTTGAGACAATACCAGAAGGGTTTTGAAATTTCTAAGAAAGAGACATTTTCACTTTCCTAGTAGAGAGGAAGATGCTCCATTGGTTACAGCATTAACTTAGGACTTTGGAGCCCTGGCTTCAGATTCCTGCTCTGCCAGAGACATCCTTTGTGACCTTGGACAACTCATTTACCATCTCTTAGCCTTGGTTCCCCATCTGTAAATGAGGATAATACCTCACAGGGGTGTTGTGAAGATAAATACATTAAAGATTGTGAAGTGAACAGGGATCATTTTGTTTTCATCACCAATGTGATGACTGGAACAACGTTATCTGGTGGTTCAACATCTTTCTTGGTGTATGGGAGAAAGAAGATGGTATGTTTATATGTAAATTGTATCAGGCCAGATCCTGAGCTGGTGTAAATTGATTTCAATGGAGCTGTGCCAGCAGAGGATCTGGCCTTTAGATTTAAATTTTCTTTATATACGGTAGTGTTAAAGAATATTTAATATGTGTATCCAGTCACAACCTAACTGGTCATTTCTTACTAGACAGAATCATTGGAAAACTCTCCCTTAATAACTGTTAAGATATTGTTAAGAAGCTTACGGTCTGCCCTGGTGAGGCATGGACTTCTTGATCTAATGGGTTTAACAGGGTTTTCAATCTCAAATAATAATGAAAATCTTCGCCCTTACTGAGTACTCATCCAGTTGATCTCAGAACACTTCACAAAGTATCATTATCCCTAGTTTTGCAGATGGGGAAACAGAGGCATAGCGAGGTGAAGTCATTTTATCATGATCAGTAGCAGGACTGCTGGATCATGCCATTTCCCCTAATTTCTAGGATTCTGTGTTGTTCCTTTATTTGACTATTGCTCCCTCCTTCCCCTTTCAAATGAATGTTTTCTCTATGCTTTGATTTCTAGCTGATTTTTTATTATGGAGTTGCAGACAACTGGTGCCCACAACAGTATTTTGAAGAGATCAAGATGGATTTTCCGGATGGGGACATTCGGCTCTGTGAGAAGGGAATCCGCCATGCTTTTGTCCTAGATGCCAGCAGAGAGGTGGCGGCGATGATCACAGACTGGTTACAAGACATTCTGACCAGATTATAAACACTCCTTCAGTGAATAATGACAAGAAAAAAAAAGTTGCCCTTTGGTGAATGTGTAATTCTCTGTCAGAGTCTGACCCTAATTTTTCTGTGCATTATAGATTATGGCTTGTTTTCTACTGAGACATCTTACAGAAGGATAAAGTCCCACTGACTGGTCTAAAGTATAGCTCCATCAGCACAATAATATTGGATCCCCATGCTGTACCAGCAGGGCTCTACAAGGCATTTCAGGGATTCTATCAAATATAGATCAGGACTTTACAGAGTATGAAATAATTATCAGCTGATAGCACTGTCCACAAAATTGATATGAGAACTACCAAGACATCTCTTTGGACACATGGCTGGTAAGTGCTAGAAGAGCTACACGTTCAAAATGAGAGCAGGGAAAGGACAGACCTAAGGTCAAAAGTGTCAGAGTGGAATGTCTCAAGTTAAATAGCTAAATCCATGTTCATCCACTTACATAAGTGGCGTAGTTCTCAGAGGTACTGCACACCCACTGCGGTCAATGGGAACTGCAGGTGTTCAGCCCCTTTAAAAAATCAAGCCACTTTTGTCATGTGCCTAAATATAGATTTAAGTCCCTAACTCTAGAGGGATGCAAGATTAAAACTTTTGACCCAAATGCACAAGTTGAATGAATTCACAATAAGAAAATGGCCAACATTTCTGTCACAACTGGATGTGCATATGAAATTTCATGAACCCTTTTAAAACATATAGGCCCAGATCCTCAGATGATGTAAATAAGCTCCATCAGTTTGTCAGTTTGTATCAGCTGAGGATCTGGTCCTTACTCTAATACATTACTGATAAATACACTTCATCATCCTCATGCACACTCCTTCGCCCTTTTATTTCACTTCAATCGAGATTGCAAACAGTGCAAAAAAAAATCTGTCATTGTGAAAATGACACAAAGCTAAGAATGAAAACTCTGTAGGCATTGGGAGCAGAAATTGCCAAGAGAGACAGGTGGAATCAGGAAAAGATGTCCTAACAGTGAGATTGTGAAATAGTCTCTCAAAGGAAAAGATATGAGCCCAGTCCCCAGAGACACTTAAAAATAGAAAAAGCACTGGATAATATAGTGTAAGGAGCAACCCTTCCCTGGCAGGGAGATTGGTGACCTAATATGTCTTTTACATCTCTGACTTGTATGATCCATTAAGAATTTAAATAAGGCACTAGGGGAGATGATAAGGAAGTCCTGTATGATGCAGGAGGTCAGACTGGATAACCCAAGAATTCTCTTCTTGCTATTCCTTTATATGATTACACACACAGTCATTTCTGTTTAAATTCCTTTGTTACGTTCTGATATTTAAAGGCAAACTGTAGCAGAATCCAATTTCCAGTTTTCTGTGGACTTGTCTTCAAAACTCCAGGGTTGTATAACATCTGGTACACCAATGAATTTATGGATGATGTTTGTGAATGATGTTAATGAAACAGAAGATGATGCTTAAGGTTGAAATGTTAGGCAGTCTGTAGTGGCATAAGTTGAGTGTGTGTGAGGCAATTGTCCCAGACTGTTCTGTGAAACTAACCCGGTCATGGTTATTACAAGCTCATAGAAGCCGCCTTCCCTCAGCAGGACCATAGTGGCACAATAGAATATATGTTGTTGCCTTATATGGTCATAACAACTGCAACAACAAAAATCACTGTGCCCAGTTTTGAAATCTACAGTTATATGTGTGGTCAAACAGCCCCCAGATGCTGATATGCAGTCATTTTAAATGTTCTTTCTGCTGCGGCTTCTGAACCCATGTTCTGGCATAGATACTCCATGTGCAGGGTGAAGCATATATATGTATGTTAGCAACAAATGTCAGCATTGAGTTCAGTAGATTCTTCTGTAATTACGTGTTGATATGATTGAATAAATTGTTCATTCCTTGCAGTATATTGAATTGAATAGCTGGGTATGGAATCAGTTTGTAAACATTCAGCTGTTTTAAGTGGCCCTTCCAGAGGTAGAAAATCTTGCCGTAACAAGAGACTACAAGCAACCACCGAAGCCTGGAAACTGAAAACCTATGGCGTACTCTTGTTCACGGTGTATAATTCATATACAGAAGATGGGGAACTGACTTCACAATACATGAACTTTGTGTATTCTTTTTATATTGTTCCTCTCTTGTGCCCTGTTAAATGATGATAGTAAATCCCACTGAATGCACTGAGACCTATCATGTGGGTAGAGATGGTCAGTAACAGCCAGACCTGCTGCTGAATAATCCCTTATGACTTTATTAAATCTGTTTGCTCTAAGGCTAATGAGAATTTTATGAATCAATCAATTCCTTCCTCTTGGGAGCTGATTCCGCATGGTTGAAGTCTGGAAATACGCTACTCTGCTCAGTGCTAACAAGAAGGGGCCTAGTTTTCAGAAGTAGTGACCCCCCTCTCCGCCCCGCACCTCTTGTTGAAGCCAATGGGAACTAATCAGCACCTCTGAAAATCAAGCTCTATGTGTTGTGCTGACTGATCTGATCTGCAGTATGAGAAATATTATTCTTTTCACGCTGAGAGCAGCAGGCTTTTCACCAGGAAAATCCCAACTCCTCTGGTGCTAAGAGGTTAGCCAAGATCCGAGGCACAGAACTTCAAAAGAGAGCATGGGTCAAACATGCCAGTTTAACTGTAAGAATACAGTAAAACCTTGCTAATTTGCAATAATGACTGGTGACCGATTGTAAATGAATTAATTTTGTGAATTAGGCCCTGATCCAGTCAAGCTCTAAAGCTCATGTTTAACTCGTGAACAGCCCCATTAACTTCAACGGGACTTCAGCTGATGCTTAAGTGCTTTGCGGAGTAAGTATGAGATGTTGCATATCTAAAGGTAAACACAAGGTAAGTGTTTTGCTCAATTGGGGCCTTTTGGAGAAAGTGAGCAAACACAGTCAGAAAAGTACAAACATTTCTAGCAAAATGGACTTGCTTGTATTTTGACATCAATTATTTGGTTTTAATTCTCCTACTTCATAACCTAGTGCCTGCAGAATTTTCAAAAACTACTGCCTGACTTAGGAGCCCAATTCCCATTTTCAAAAGTGACTTAGGCACATAGGAGCCTACATCTCAGTGAAAGTCAATGGATTTAAGCTCCTGAATCACCTAGACTATTTAATCTTTGCTGCCAACAGCACCTCTTTGTATGTGTTATAGTATCTGTGGTTTAGTGAGATTCCACTATATAGGAGAAGTTTGCCTGATATGTGTACAGCAGTTATAGTGGAGATTTTGCACTGGGACATGAAGCTAAGCAGGGAGGACAGTGTAGGTACACACACACAGCAGAATCTGTCCTCTACAGTTGTTCACATTTACATATTTAATTTTTCAGCGAATCAGTTCATATTTGCATCTTTTCTTCATCTTTTCTTCCACCACCCAACACCCGAAGCCTAGCTAGCCTACGAACAAACACTCTGAACAAGAGACAAAGTTTTTTTGTTAGCACAGTTGCTCAAAACGTTATTGGATTTGTGTAAACCTGCTGGGCCCAGGAGACTGTCATGTTACTCTCAGTGTCACAGGTCACGCTCAAGCTCACAATTACAGTGAGGTTCTGCGTCTCTTCGCTCACAGCAAAACGTTCTCTTTCTCAGCGTTTAGACAAAATAAGAATCCAGGGAGAGTTTGTGAGTGACCAGGCATCATTAAAGCAGCATATATTGCTAGAACAACTGATGGGATTTTAGTAAAAGCAAAAACTGTAGCGGCAGTAAATACAATCCGGTTGCCAGAAGTGATTGTTGCTCAAGGCGGCATCACGCAGAAGTTATGAAACAGGACAATTCTCATGCACAAGTGGGACAGAGGAAGAAAAAGCCACTGCCTTTGCCTCGAGAGAGCCTCAATTAGAGATTATTTTCAAGTGTTCAAGCTGATGCTAAGTGAAGTGGATTTTTCCATTTCGTATATTGCACAAAAGTACTTGCAAGAAAATAATTGTGCTGCGGTTTCCTACCAGTTTGCAGAGGCTAATAAATATAGCATGTTGTTTAAAACATATGACTCATTTTTCAATGTGTAGTTTGTTGTTCAAATCCTTGCTGAAAAGTTCTCTACTACCCTCTGTGAAGAAACTCAGAGTGTAAAAGACAGCTGGAGAATGCTCCTTATTTTTCCTATTCACTAAAATCTTGATCTAACATCCTTTAAAGCCCCCAACCTCTCAAATACACTACACTATACCCAATCTTCACCAAAATCCTTTGGTATGCAGGCCATATGGAATGGAGTTTGGCAGGGGGAGGGGCAATAGAGGCATTCCCAATGCCAGTGCCCAGTTTTTCGCTTTTATTGAAGGGAGAAATCTTTTTAAATTGCCAACAATGTTTTTGTGCCAACTACACTTGTTGTTAGGAGGAATAATGTTCACAGTTTGAGCTGTCCTATATAAATGTTTACTTCATCTATTGTTCCTTCTGTATGGGTCCCTTTTCACTAGCAAAACAGGTGAATCTACACATAAGAGATCAGACAAGAGTGAAAGTCAAAGGGATAACAAATGCAGATTATTGGTCAAGGACCCAGTACTGGGAATCGCTTAAGCATGTGCCTAACTTTAAGCATATGAGTAGCCTCCTGGAAATCAATGAGATCATTCAAGTGCTTAAAGTTACACACGTGCTTAAGTGCTTTCCTGAAGTGGGGCCCAGGATAGGTGGCACCGGGTAAAAGTCCTTTTACATGCTAATCTTTCTTATCTCTAACTTACAGCAGACGAGAGTGAAGATTTTAAAAGAAAAGGAAAACAAGTTATGTGGCTCGCCAGATGGGGGTTTCCTTCTGTTATCATAACCCTATGGGCTTGCACCAGGCAATTTCCAAAACAGGACAGAGCCAAACACAGCGACATTCCTTTGGAAATTTCCACTTTGTGGGAGAGAAAATTGAAGTACTTGCATAAATGAAACAATGCCCAGGTAATATTTAACTGGTGAACATAGACTGAGCCGTACCTCCTGTGCTATACTTTGTACAAAAGTCCTCCCAAATCATCTCCCCAGACATCTCTTGGGGTTTACTAAAATGTGTAGAACTGCATGGGGTATGACAGGAAACACTCCAGTTAAGTCTCCACATGGGTATAAGAGCCTGATCCGAAGCCCATTAAAATTAGCTGCAGTCTGGAAAATGCCAGCATTATAAGAGTTAAATACTTCAGGCAAACTTCTAGTGTCTGATCTGCATATGTTTCTCTGGCTTTGAAAAGTGATGTTGGTCTGTTGTGAATGAAACACATATCTGATGCATTTCAGGATTTTTCCATGCTCCTAAATGTGCCTTACTGCAAATAAATGCGCTTACAATATTGTAGATGGTAAAGTTCTAATAGGAGGCATTTTTAGTAATACACCACTCTTTCATCTTGTGTAAATCACTGAGCTGGTGTCCATTTTATGAACACAGTTTAGAACAATTCATTCTCTACACCTTGATTTTTCTGGCAATTATGTTTATGCAACTATTTCACCAAATATAAAGGTCCCACTGAAAACACATGCAGCAAAGATTCGTGCATAGATATTGGACAATCCCTTAATGAATGTAGTCCCCAGAAAGGAAAGGTTTTCGTAGGATTTGTTTTTCATGCATCCCATGAAATTAAAAGTTAGCCTGAAAAGCATTTTTGAAAGGACTTTGCCAAAATAGCTTTTTATTATATATAAAAGGAGCCTGACATTTCAAAAAATAAAAATGAAGAAAGAAGAAATAATGAAGGAAGACCAAAATCCAAAGGATGCTTAATTATAAAAATTACTTAATACAAAAATTGCTACCTAAATACTATGTGATCTAATGTCTACAAATTATCACTAGAGCTGGTCAAAAAATTCCCAAAGCAATTCATTAATATTTTTTTCCAAAATGTTTCCCTTTTTTTTTTCCAAATTTTGAATTCAAAATTTCATCAACATTTTCAAATTCAGTTTGTTTTGATCAGATATTTAAATCATGCATATTTGTCCCCTGGATATCATTAGCATTATATCTGTGTGAAAAATAAATTACAGAGCCATGTGAGGGATGCAGTTGTCAGTCACATTTTACTGTCACCTGCACTCTGCCCCCTCCTTTGGGACAGCTGTTAACATTTCTCGACTCTGAGCAGTCTCCAAGGCTTGCCTTTTGTCTATCAGCCATAAAGACATTTCCTTCTTTCCCCCTTCCTACTCTTAACAGGTGTTAAGGCTTAATACCGTGAGGTGATAATCATTCTAGGCCTAATACATCTAGGCACATAACTTCATACCAGGGGGACTACTCATGCTTAAAATTAAGCACGTACTTGGTCATTGGCTCCACAGGAGCCAATGTGATTGGCACCTTGCAGAATCGAGCCTTCAGTGAGAGCATGACTTGGCCTAAGGTTGGTAATGGGTGACAGGGAAAAACTCAGTTTTACTCTCAGGGCCTTATTTTCACTGACACTTGTGTAAATCAAGAGTAACCGCAATGAAATCACCACTCTGGTGGAAAACTGTAAGTGGGAGGAGTATCCAGGTGCGTAGAGTCCAGTTCAAGGGTGGGAAGAGCATTAGATGCCCAACTCCCATTGAAAGACAATGGAGTTGGGCCCTTAAATTCCTTTTTTGCCACCCTTTCTCATACCTGGCTAGCATGTGCTCTCCAATCTGCCCTGAGTAAGAGGTGGGGTGTAGCACCTCACGTGGGTCATCAGGGTTTGAACAGGTGACATTCAACATCACAGCACAACCATCTACTGTTTGAACTAAAGGAGTAATCCCTTTAGACCCTGAGCCACTTCCCACTAAAGTCAGGGGAGAAGCTTCTATTGATTAATTGCGAGTTGCCTGTCTAGTAGCCAAAGTAGGTGGGCCGTTATTAGTTGCAGACCAGACAGCAGGGATGTGACACACCCTCGTTGCTCTGCACATT